TTCGTTAACAATTGATACATCAACTTTAGGCTTTATTCGAGTTGGATCACTTTATGTACGTACCAATGTTGAACAAGAAATAGATTTGGGGAAAGGTTTGATTCATACGCAAACAGTTATAGAATATCTTGAAATGCTTGTTGCTGCAATGCAAAGTAAACGTGTAACAATGTTAGTTGGACCAACAGCATCAGGTAAAAGTGCACTACTTTATGAACTTGCTCGTATCTGTCATAAAAACTTAATCGTTCTTCATTTAACACAAGAAACTGAAACAGCTGATTTGATTGGACAATGGGTACCTCGTGTTTGTGAGGAAACAAATCAATTATTGGAAGATTTTCCAGCTATTATACATGTTGACAATTTTATAAAACGTCTTACAAAATTTCTTCTTATTTATGTTTGTCCAATATTAAAGCGAGAGAATCCAGAAGCTGAACGAGAAACAAAGTTTTTATTACCAAGATTAGTCTCGAATTGGCTTGATATTCGAACACAATTTCAACTTTATTTTACTTCGCTAAGTGATTCTTCAAAATCTGAATTAGAAAAACAAACGATGGAAAATGATCAAAGCAGTGAAAATCAGTCGACTGTCTCCAAAATAAGTGATTCATCTATAGAAGACCTAACAACAACAGTTATTGACACAAATACGAATAACAAACTATTATCACACATTGAAAAATGTATGAATCATTTAAAATTTATTGAAGAAAAATTATCAAAACAAATTGTCTACCTTGAAAGACACAAAAGTCTCTGTTCAGATACAAATATTCTATTGCAAGATTGTAAAAATCTTATTCGCTTAATAAAAATCTATCATAAAGAATGTTCACTTAAAAAAAAACAAAAATCGATAAATACAAATACAGAGCATAGCAAAGCTGATATAACATTTAAATTTATTGAATCACAACTTGTACAAGCAATTCGTGAAGGTCATTGGATTGTATTAGATAATATCAACAGTGCACCACCTGAAGTACTTGAACGATTATTATCATTATTTGAAGAGAATCCAGTTTTAAATTTGTATGAAAATAATACAACAGAAGATGAAAATAATGCAACGGAAGAACTTAGTGGAGATAAAATTCATCCAGGTTTTGCTCTTTTTGCCACATATAATCCAAAACTTGAAGGTGCTAATAAACTTTCAAGTGCATTAACAAATCGAGTTCTCTCTATATATGTCGATGCTCTAGATAATGATGTTAAATATGATTTAAAGGTGAATAAAAGAAACGATGCTAATAAATTAGATAAATTTGATCCAACAAAAACGAACGTTTATAAAATTTTGTTAGATCAATTTATTGGTGTCCATGGTGGCTATGAACTCGTATCGTATTGTTTATTTTGTCATGCTGATGCTAAAATGATGTTACAAAACGAAGACATACATACTATAAAAGGTTTTCAATATTCTTTTCGAACATTACAAAATACTTGTTCGACAGCTCGATACTTAAT